AAGAGTTATAAATTCTCATTTAGGTTGTACAGTCAGAACTCTCGACTGGTCAATGGGAAAGAGCAGCCGATTCAGAGACGAGAGTCGACTCAAGATAGCACTCCCGCCGCCAGCAGACCCAACTACGAACAAGTCAGCGCCAAGGTGGACTCGAACCTGCCCCCTCGCAAATACGGCAGACCGAAATCAGGCAAGTCATCGTTTTAATACATGTAGATAAAATGTCTAAACCAAAAGTTGGAGCAACGCTGCATCAAGTTGCACCAAAGTATACCTATGAGAATGAATACGATTGAATGTTGGCTGTCATATTTTACTCACGTATTTTTGTTCCAATCACTGTTTGGGCTCTGGCTTCCAGTATGTCATTTTTGACTCAAGCCCAAAAACTACATATAAGTTTTGAATATGTGGGCAAGTGACATATCATGTTAAAGTCCTGTGCCAGCTTCAAATCAGAAATCTGAAAAACTTTTCTCGGATGAAAAGAAGAGGGTATTTTGCTTTCCCGTGCACACTCAAGTTGAATAAGGTATTTACTCAAAAAATGCAATAAGAGATAGAAAATTTAATTCGCTACAAAACCCTGGAATGAATGTATATCTTTAGTATGATTGAGTTCTCCTAGTTTAAAATGACACATATGAGGCGCAAAAATTTCTTGACCGAACGTGTTTTTCCATTAATTTTCATATTTGAGTTCAATAAAGCGAACTTATTGAAGGCGTTGGGGAATTTTTTTTCGATATATCTAACCAATCGCATCTAAACTGTTATCGAAGTTCTTCGGTGAAGACTTGATGACATCCGCTCCCTAATTTTTTTGAGGAAATCGATTTAACTTTTTGAAACAACACTTGAACTTGAACTAGAAAATATTTCAATATTTTTCGCATCAGAACATATTCTTTAAATCTATCAAACAGCTTAAAATTTTCAGCTGGCCCACTAGTTGTTCGTTGGGAAATCCATATTTGCTTTGTCCCTCAAAACTAAAGAAATTCTCTATTTTTTGTCTAAAAGGTGAGTGGTCACTTTGTATCTATAAACTCATGATTTGTTTTCAATGAGCGAATTTTAAACGTGTTTAGTCTATCTTTTCGAATAGGTCGTACTGAAGTCACCGACAGTATCCTTTGCATAATAAAGGTTGCGCAGAAGGTGGCAAAGCTGAAAAGTGTATATGTTTCTAAAGTAACAGAGCAACAAATTAGAGCTCCAAAATTTCGATTGTTTTAATCAAACCGGGATATATTCTCACCGATAAATTTTATTAGGTTATTAGTCATTTTTGGACCCAAATCCAGTTTGAAAAGATAGAAGTTCTGTGCTATTTTGGTAGCTTTATGAGTTTTTATTGGAACATTTGGAAGCCAGGTTTTTGATTTATTTGCATCAAAACAAGTCTGTTAATCTCTGCACCAAATCTTACAAAAATTTTCAAAATATTTTATTGCTATTCGACAGATCAGAATGAGTCTTATAGCAAACTCAAAACTTCTTAAAATACTAGTCAAATCAGAAAATTGCTCGCTTAAGAATTTGAAAAAATTAATGCGTGAATGCCGTCAAAAACCCTAGTCATGACTTCCATGGAGCCATGCATGGTACGATGTATGGTTGCACATTTTCGTCAGAATGGGGATTGAAAAAGCACAGCTTACCATGGAACCTTTGGCGTCGCATAAATGTAATTTTATTTAAAAGAATTCAATAGTTTTGTAAATTTATACACATTCAAAAGGCCTTGTAGCCACATAAATTATTTTTCCTGATCTTTTTAAATTCTAACTCTAATCCTAAAAACCCTAATCCTAAAACCCTAATCCTAACAGTAATCTTTTACGCAACCCTGATTATGCATATCAAACTATCGGTGACTTCAACAACTCATATTGTATTTGATTATCAACAAACATTGGAAGCTTGCCTTTTTGTTAATGTATATAACTTGCTAACGTTTCATTATGCTGTGAAAGTCGTAACAAAACGCTGTAAAAGTAGTAAAAGTCGAAAAATTATCACTCGCCTTCTTATCAAGACAATTTGTTAGAAGTATTTTACTTTTGAGGAAACTACAAAAACTAACTTTTAACTGAAAATTTAACAAATTTTTACAAAAAAAATAATTTAGTTTGCAGTTTAGCTGCAATCAGCTAGATGTATGAAAGTTTTGATTTTCATACGCCCTATCAATTTGCTTTGTTGAAACTATCCAAAATCGGAAAATGTGTTATTTTTACATAAAATTACGTGGGCGTTTTTTCATGACTTCCATGGAACCATCCATGGTACGATGTATGGTTGCACACTTTTGTCAACCCGGGGATTGAAAAAGCACAGCTTACCATGGAACCTTTGGCGTCGCATAACTGTAATTTTATTTAAAGGAATTCAATCATTTTGTAAATTTATACAAGGGCGGATCTAAGATTTTGACGACCTTTTCTTGACGACTTTCTTTTAGCTCGACCAAATTGATTTTCTGAGCTCTCCCAAACTACTTATAAAGACCCTAATTTGGCCAAATTTTGGCTCTTTTCCTTTTCCCCCCACCTCACATGAGCTTCAATTTTTTAGTGTAACGAGTGGGTTTACGAGGTTGATTATGAAGACCAAATATGTTTTGTCGTGGCCTTATTAGTCTGTATATCAGGGGTGAAGGAGAAAGAGCCCAAATTTTCAGCGCCGCAGTCAAATTTTTTTAAAAAAAAAGGCGTTTTTAGACACTTTTTAGAAAATTTCGACCAAAAAATTGCGTTTTTTCGGCGCGCGCTCCCCTCAAAATTAGTGTAGATTGGCGTCGAAGGCGACTTTAGAACATAGGGTCCGTCTTTCAAAAATGGATATCTCAAAATAGTACAAAGGGGGACCCTTTGGGTCGGCAGGGGGCCAAATCCCTGAGGAAAAGAAAGCGTCCCCTTGGAGGAGAAGAAGGCATCCCCTTGGAGGAGTTATGGACCAAGTTAACATCCCCTTCGAGCAGTTTGTGTGGGGGGATGTAAACTTGGTTCAAAGTTGGAGCTTCCAACCACTTAGATTTGAACATTTGGCTCTTTTTCCTTTTCCACCCACCTGCAAACTTTTACATGTAAATTTAATGACCACATTGTCCAATTGTTATGAAAATTTATATACAGACTAATAAGGCCACGACAAACATATTTGGTCTTCATACTCAACCTCGTAAAACCACTCGTTACACTAATATATTGAAGCTCGTGTGAGGTGGGGGGGGGGGGGGAGAGGAAAAAGAGCCGAACATTTTACCTGCAGCGCTTAGAAAAATTCAAAACTTCACACGATTTAAATGCTGGGGTGCAAGATTGAACTTGATCTATCTGGGTCGAAGGGACTATGTTAACTGAGAATTTCCCCGAGTAATATGAGGCCGAGTAGAAAAGTCAATAGAGTGAAAGCCACCTCAATCCTGATTCATAAAAGACTCGAGATAGCTACAAATAAAAGTTTGGCCAGTTTTTACGATACTCTCAAGCTTTTATTTCAAATGCACGTGCTATAAACAGTCCAGAAACTAGCTGCTCATAAAAATCAAAACTGAGAGACTATGGTCAAGAAAAGAACTTTTACTTTCTATTTGGACTGGTCCATGAAAGTCCTCAAACAAAAGCCAATATGTAATGAAAACAATGAATCTATTCGACAGTTTGTTTGATTTTTCTTTCGTTTTTATGATTTTATGTACACAGGGTTGCAACACGCCTGGTTCATTAAAACATTTTCTGTTTCTGATAGCATTGTAAAAGATTGATCAGAACTTCTAATACATATTGCATTACTTTTAGTCAGTTTAAAAATAACATTTATACCTGTTACTGTTACCAAAACAATCGTTGCTTCCGAAACAAATCAACAGAAGTCCTTGTGATTCGGGCTACTTCCAAACTTGCAAAAATCTTTAATCATTCAAATAGTTTTTATCTCATACTGTAGCGAATTTAGGAGGCCGGCCTCTGAAGGTCAACCTCCTTGTCTCATAAAAGGTCCCCTCTGCTCTTTGCTAATACACTTTGGCTCTTTTTCCTTTTTCCCCCACCTCCCACGACCATCAATTTTATTAACGAGTCGTTTTACAAGGTTAAATATGAAGACCAAATGTGTTTGGCACATCCTAATTAGTCCGTATGTCAACTTTCATTATGATCGGACAATGTGAACAGTAACTTTACTAGTAAAAAATTGTGGCTCTTTTTCCTTTCCCCCCCATGTGCAAATTTTTATATTTGAAGTTTCTGTTTACTTTGTCCGATTGTCGTGAAAATTGACATGCAGACTTATTAGGTCATAACAAGCATATTTGGTCTTCATAATCAACCTTGTAAAACCACTCGTTAGACCATAAAATTCATGTTTGTGTGAGGTGGGGGGGGGGGAAAGGAAAAAGAGCCAAAATTGCAGGTTTCAAAGGAAAAAGAGCCTGCACTTTGACGACCACAATTTTCGGTCGACTAGCCCTCCGGGATTTTCATTTTCCGCACTCTCAAAAAAAAACATTTACAAAAAAACTTTCAATATTTTCAAGAGTGAATTTTTCTAAAAGCGTTAGAAAAAACTGGGTTTCTAAGTTCTTCTAATCCATTGGCGTGAGCAGGAACTTTCCAAGGCTCTTTTTCCTCCTCCTCTCCCCCCCATCCACTCGCGAAATTTTACTAGTAGAATTTTGTTCACATCATCAGGTTGTTACAAAAATTGGTATGCGGACTAATTAGGCTATGACAAACATATTTGGTATTCATACTTAACCTTGTAAAACCCCTCGTTACAACACAAAATTGATGCATATGTGAGGTGTGGGGGAGACAGCTTTTTCCGACACAGTTGAAACAGCTATTCCGAAAAGTATTATCAAGTTTTTTTAGGTAAATGTCGAACTTTTTCAGCTCTGACTCTTGGCAAATTTTTCCAAGTCTGGGCCTTTTTAGGAAGAAAATGCTGTAGTTTGTATGTTTTACCGCTAAAAATTTTCAGAAGTGATCGACCCAAAATTTTTGTCACAAAATAGTACCCAACGGAAACCCTTTGGACAAATTCTGTGACGAGAATAAGGGGTCGCTTAATTTAGGCCTTTTTTGGAAAATTTTGAACAGAAAAATACGTTTTTTCGGCGCCCGCTCGCTTTGGTCGGCCTAAAATGGATGTCATAAAACAATACCAAAGAGGGGACCCTTTGGTTCAGGGGCGGATCTAGGATTTTTTTGAGGGCGGGGCGGATTTTCAAAAACTTATCGAAAAATTTGACGACCTTTTTTTACGTAGACCAAATTGATTTTCCGAACTCTCCAAAAGCAGTAAAAATACCCTGTTTTGCCAAAATTTCTGCGCCGCAGTAAAATTTTTGAAAAAAAAAACAGGTCAAAAAAGCCGTTTTTGGGCATTTTTTTGGAAAATTTTGACAAAAAATCGCGTTTTTTTGGCGCGCTCCGCTTCAAAGTTAGTAAATATTGGCGCCGAACGCGCCTTTAGAAAAATTTTAGGGTCGGTCGGCGACAAATGGATTTCTTAAAAACTACCAAAGGGGAGACCCTTTGGGTTGGCGGAGGGGTCGAATCCCTGAGGAAAAAGCGTCCGCAACCGCCCCCCCCCCCCCCCCAAATCCGCCTCAAATCGTTTTTTTTCTCGGAGAAAATTTGCTGGGGAAAACTGGCCAATGTAAATAAACTCATGGCTCTCCTGATGCTTTTGGTAAGACCTGGCTACCTCTCGTCGAAGGGACCGGGCGAGAACATCTTTTATAAAGCGAGAGATGCATGATCTAATTTTCACCAATGGTTTGGGCTTCCAGTACTTTTGTCCTGGACCTTTCCATTGGTCGTATAAATCCTGCACGCGCCACACCAAACGGTGCACTGGATAGGGGTATGACTCTCAAACCCTGAAGCATGTCTTAAAACATGTTAATAATTGTCGGAACAATCAAGAAAGCAAAATCACAAAAGAAGAACAAAGAGAGCGTCCTTGTTGCGGAATCCGCTTACAATTCACAAAAAAAAATAGTTTGCCCGCACCAAAGTTTCGTGAATAAAAATTAATTATAATCGATTTTTGTTAAATAAAATGTTCCCTATATAATCAATTGTCATGGCAAATTTCGGCAAAGTAATGGACTTTTAATCTATAATAATTGATTAAATTCCATTTTTGTTTTCAAAACAACCAATATTTTTTTGTAAATTATTATTTAACTTATTGCAGCTTTCTGCACTCAAGCGTGAGCGAACGCATTCATCCCCATAATGACGGTTCACTACCCACCTAGGTCCCCCTCTACGCCTCCTCTCGTCACCACGTCCCTCCCATCCCCTCCCCTCCCCCCGGGTTGACCTCCATATACCAAAAATTCTTATCATACAATTCCATACATCATATGTATGGAAAAATGCTTGTCAAACTATTTTCCTACATTTTCGAAAAATGGCTGAAAAAAGATATAAAATAATTTCTGCGGCTGTTTGATCCGAGGTTTTTTTTTGAAAAAATGCTTATCATACAATTCCCATATATAGAAATTGTATGAATAGCATTTTTGTGATGGCAACACAAAATTGTTTTTTGAAATTGCCTTTAAAAACTTTCGGTTTTTTCAACCGCAAATCGAAATCGAATTTTATGCTCAAACAAACATTTTCCAAAAAAAATTGCATGCAAAATTTAAGTTTTTGTGTGCATAACGTAGCACTGGATAAACTAATGTTGAATTTTTCTCCTTTTCGCCAAATATATATATTTTTTCAAAACGCTGAAAACTCCTATTTTTTTTGTATGGCATTTTTATGTATTTCTTTATCAATGTCTGATAATTTTAAAATCAAATTTCAAAAATAATCATCGTTGAAAATTTTTGCAGAAATTTAAAAGTTTGTTACTACTGTTGTATCAATTGTGAAAGACAGCTCTAAGAAAAAATAGGTTGTTTTTATGCATTGCAAATGCAAGACCGTCCAACCCTTGGTGCTTTGAGTAAACCAAGGTCTTTGTCAGTTGCGTTCGGTTACGAACACAACCCAAAAATTTTCAGAAATTAAATTTAGACCAAAAATCAAGTTTTTGCTTTATGGAAAAAACACTTGTCATACTATTTTCATATATAGAAAAATGCTTATAATAGAAACTTCATACAATTTGCTCTACGTATGGAATTATATCGAACTGTATGGCAAGAAGTTTTTCAAATATTAAGGTTGTATGATAAGAAGTTTTGGTCAACGCGGGCCACTATTCCCGCAAGTCCCCCACTATTTCCCCCCACGTCCCCCACTACTTCCCCCTGCCACGTCCCCCCTATGCTTCCATCCCTCTTTTTACAACTCCCCTCACCCGGTTTGTAGAAAAACTGAATAAAAGAGTTACAAAAATACGTACTCAACTTATTATAAATAACTTATGAGCGAGACCGCGAAATATATAATAAGCCTAGTAAGTTTAAATTTAATATAAACAAAGGAAAATAGCACACAGAAAGATAGAAGAAAATGATTAAAATCCATTGTAATTGATTATAATAGATGATATTTCGTTCAATAAAAATTTTTTGAGAACAAGATGAAAATAATCGATTACAATTGCTTCGAAATTTTTCTGAAATATCAAAAACAAATTGTAATTAAATTTAAGCTTTCGCATTTTTTTTAGAATTTTTGGCGCAAATGCAAACTTGGAAAAAATTAAATTTCTGGAATATAATTGAGTTATATGTCTTATTTTACTCAAAATTATACCGGTTTATCTCTCAGAAGGCTTTTTTCGAAAATTTTTAATAAAGTTCGAATCACGACTGCAAACAAAAGCTTTAATATGACGTTACTCGATCCCTTCCGTCATTTTTTGTAGTACTTGATTTTACGCGGAAAAAAAAACAAAAAAAACAACCAAAAAAAACTAAAACAAGCCAAAGTCGCAACATTTTTTTTCAGTTTTCAAGTTTCCTGCAAGATTACTGAGGTAAAAGCACTCGCACAGCTACATGCTAACCTTGTTTAGCTGGACATCTTATTTGAATTTCCCTTTCCCATTTTTTCGGTTAACCATTCTATTTTGGATCAAGAAAAATTTATGCCGCAGCCAGTTTTCAATGAAAAAGGAACATAAGAGCATTTTCATGACTCTTCAAAATTTGTGATGAGACGTTGTGTTTGGGAGTAGCAATTCGTTCATTTGATAATTAATTTGTTTGAATAAAAGTTGGCAGCAAGTCAAGCATTTGAATTACTTTTTACTCTAACCTCCATCCCATTCTTTCATTCATGGCAGAAACAGCAGCAAAAACGGGGAGAAAACGTGACCCTATTTGGACAGAGTTCGAAAGACTGCCGGGCAATAAAGCCAAATGCCGCCACTGTGAGCAGCCTGAAATAATTTCAGGCGTAGCGCACCGAATGAAAACCCATTACTTGAAGTATCATCAACAAAGGGAAAAGCACTCGATCAAAAATCATTCATTAACAAAAACTTGTGCCGAAGCAGCAGCAAAAACGGGGAGAAAACGTGACCCTATTTGGACAGAGTTCGAAAGACTACCGGGAAATAAAGCCAAATGCCGCCACTGTGAGCAGCCTGAAATAATTTCAGGTGTAGCGCACCGAATGAAAACCCATTACTTGAAGTATCATCAACAAAGGAAAAAGCACTCGGTCAAAAATCATTCATTAACAAAAAATTCGTCAGAACATTCAGATGTTTCAAAATTAGCCAAAAATGATTCGCCCGATGAGAACAAAACAATCAATCAGGCTATTGAGAAGTTTTTTATTGACTGCGAAATCCCTGCCGATAAAGCAAAGCACGAGAGTTTTATTTATATGACCAAAGCATTGCGTCCCGGTTATAAGATTCCAGATGATTTTGAAGAAAGTCTGAATTATCAACAATTGCTGAAATCAATAATCAATTACAACGGTAGCAAACTTCTGACATCTTTAATCGAAATTAAGGAGTACAATTGCCAGCACCTGCCGGAAAAGTTTACTACAAAGCCTTTATCGCGTTGTATGGAAAATAGAAACTTTAATCTCACTGTGGAAAGACCTTGCATATTTGGACGTGGGATTAATTTTCAGAATTTTTTCAATGCCTGTTTAGAGTACAAATTTCTCATAGAAAGACCTGAAGACGCGCCTTTAACAGGAGTTCTAACGAAACAGTTAGATCGTCCCCCACAATTGCACAAGCGGAAGCCACCTCTTCCTCCAGTTTACGAGTACTGTTGCCAACAGGAGGCAATGAATCAGATACATGTCGAATTGCAAAAGAGTGATCTCTTTCGAAGCATCCAACATCATGCAGGCAACAATTTTCTGCAGTTTTCAATTAAGAAACAAATTAATTTTGTCAATAAAAATGTCTCCGGAATCGATAGAGATCTGACTGGACCGTTCGCAATAAACTGTGGTAGAGCGAAGACTCTTCTAGATAGTCTCACTTCTTCAATATCTTTAATGAACTATGATGGCCTCGGTTGCAGCACACATGCATGGAAGCGTTTGCTCTCCGAATACGATGAAAGCCTCAAAAATGAGGATCGTAAGTGGCTTGAGTTAGCTCAAAGACTATACGAGAAACACGCGCCTGTATTTGCACTAGTTGCTTATGCTGTAGACCCGGAGTATTTAGGAGAAAAACTGACGGAACTAGAGAGGGAATCTGCGGCCAACTGGGTGCAAGAGTTCTACCCTGAATGCTTCTCCGACTATCAAAAGTTTACCGGGCTCAGCACCGATCATTTAGACAGTCTACGTAAAGTTTTTGATGAAAAGAATCTGGAATTTTGGAAAGGGCTACTTGAATTTGGAATAATAAATGCGCCATTTGCAGCTATGGGGAAAATCTTGATGAATCTCGTCTGCTCTTCATATGTAGATCTAACAATCAAACAACCCGGCGAGGCTAGTGACATAAGTGACATAAGTGACATATCGGACAACGATGAGAACAGTTAGACGGCTTTTCCACTGATCTAAGCCTTTATCGTCAACTTTACTACAAACGTGCCTATACCATTTAGAGTAAATTATACTTTTAGTTCCAGAGTTCAACTTTAAAAATCAAAAAAGAGTACTTGGTTTTGATCCAATTATTCGCAACTTGCCACAACAGGGTTTGAAAGTTCATGTAAACTTGTTCCTAAATTCAATAAATTTATAGTAGCTCTCTAGAACTGAAACGAGTTCTTTGTTCACTAGTTAATTAACACATGCTCAAGATACTGTTTTAGTTTTGTTTTCTTTTTTTAATAAATAAAAATGTTACTCATGTTCCATTTTAAAAAAGTGCTTTTTTTCATAATTTAGTTTCTAAATGTAGTTTCATGAGCACTATCATTACTTACATTGCATAAAGTTTGGATAGTTCTGTCGATTGTTTTATTTTATGGGTGAAGTTGTATCACCTTCTCTGTTTCCACCACAAATGCTTTTTCTGATCTCCTAAAATTCCACCCACTCGATATAGATAGATCAGTCGATGACTCATGTCGAATTATCCTCAGGGCAGTTTCCTTCTGAATCACACGTCCGCATGAGAAGCATTTTGCGCTGTTGAGACGATTTGGAATCGTTTTGCAGAAAAAACACTCGTGTGGTGGCTCAGTGAGATGATTTGAAGTGATGTAATTTATGTTTTCCTGGCCTCTGGCCATTGTAAAAATGTTTCGAAAGAGCGAATTTTTTTTATTATAATATCAGGCAATAAATATAGTTTTTAATTGTTTTAACTAATTTTAACTGACCAAAATATAGAATAGATAGATAGATTGAAGAGAGAAAATGAAGTTGAGTTGATGTGTTGTAAATAATTTGGCATCGATTCAATGCTAAAAACGTCAAAAAGGTTTTTTAAAAAGTCTAAAACTTTCAAAAAGTAAAAAATGTCCATCTAAAACTTTCAAAAAGTCAAAAACCCGTAAAACTTTTGAGAAGTCACGAGCAGTGTTGGTATATATACCACCGACTTTCAATAAATGAAAGCGCATTAATAAATGAAAGCAGTTCGAAGCGCATTTTACACCATCATATAATTTACAGAATGCTAGATCTGGCGGATATATTAGGCGGTGAAACCACCATTAAGAATTATGATTATTTTTACGGTCTAATATATCTGTATACCAAATTATTACACCATAAAAGCTAGGAGTTTCTAAACAAAATTTTGCTCTGATATCAGAATATTCTTTTTATCGCCTGAGATTTCAGCAGCTAAAAAAAGTACAAGATGAACTTTAATACGATAGTAGTTTCTTCGAAAATGGATCTGTGAAACGTGGCGCATTGGTGTTAATTTTCGCAGCGACTATTATTATGATTATCGCGTTGTCGAATTCAAATGCGCGCTCAATTTGCGAGGTGAAAGTCAAATAGTTTAGCAGAAAAATCAGCTTAACTAAAATTGAGTAAATAGCAGGGGCGGATTGGCGGAGGGCGGGGGGGGGGGATGTGCTGATGCCTTTTTTTCAAGGATTCAACCCCCTGCCGACCCAAAACTGGATTGAGACTAAAGTTATCAATGTCCTAACTTATCATGAACATCCAAATCATTTCACGTCCAAGCTAATACAGAAATAAAGGGAATTGTTGTTTCAGGAGGACCTTTTGTCAACTCACAGAGCAATGGAACAGGGACTAAAAAAGAACCTCAGCCCAACGTTCAATCAAACCAGCGCCAGCAGTCAATGGGTTCACAAAATATTCCGAACCGAAACCAGAGGCCAAATGAGACCAAACAGCATGCTGAGATTCGAAATATGCCAATAAACCTCAATGAAAATCAAAGAATCGGGTCAAAGCCAAACACAAGCACTGCACGGCAAAATCCTCAGCAAGAGAGAAAACGTTCACTTCCAAATGGTTCAAATAACGAAAAGAATCCCGCAAAGCAACCTGAAATACAGAGGTCAGCTCAAGGTCAAACAAGGAGCTCCAAAAACTCAATAGTGCAATCGATTCCAAGCCACGCCGAAGTTCAGCCTAATAATTCAAACGTGCAAAATGAAGAATTGCAGACACCTCTTATGGAAGATAGTCCAAGTATGGGAAGTACCCCTCGACACGAGGAGATCAAAGACATACCGATGCGACCTCCTTCCGAAAGCAAACCTCCTGTTGCGCGACCTCAGAGTAATCATAGCAACGCTTCAACGATACCACCAATAAATATGCCGACATCAGCGTCTCAAAGTGAAACCCCGGGAAGGCAAAGCCAGATGGCACAGCCCAATAGTTCCACAACGAATGAAAAAACGAACTCGGAAGGTGCTCGGAGTCAAATGGGACCTGAGAGTAGAAACGAGTTTATAGAGTACCTCTCGCCGACTGATGTTCCAGCGATTGAAGAGTTCACACCGCCTGCGAGTCCAGGAGTCAACAGAGTCGTCATAACCAAAACGACAACCAGGCGTCACATTGAGAGAACAATTATTCACAAAATGAAACAAAAAGACGAGTCTAAAAGTCCTAATAATGAGCAAGTTTCAGCAAATAATGAGGATGAAGTTTGTCCGTGTTCGGATGACAAGGAGTTCTATATAGGTGAGGAGGGAAATGAAAAGGAAATAGTTCCAAATAACGCCTCGGATTCGGCAAATAATGAGGATGAAATTTGTCCGTGTTCGGATGACAAGGAGTTTCATATTGGGGATCAGGGAAACGAAAACGATATAGTTCCAAAGCGACAAGAAACAAGCCAAGAATTGGGCGATACGCAAGAAATGTATATACGACGAAGTCCCGAAAAAAGCAAAAACGTTAATCAAGAGCCTGGGCCGGTTAAAAATCCTCGCAATGTTCCCGGGAAACCAGTGCCGGCAAAACAACCCGAAATGGAACAAGAGCCAGAATTGGGTTCACCTTCTCGTCCTATGGAAGCATATTCAAATCGAATTCACGAAGAAACTCAGCCTATGCGACAACCAAGTTCATCAGGTTGGCATTCGATTCGAGGCACTCCTCTAACAAGGACGCCTTCTCGAGATGCAAGTAGAAATAGTAGTAACGGTAGTGGAAATCGAAGTTCAAGAGCCTTTTACAAACACCCGCCCCCGAATGGGAGAAACGTTGTCAATGAGCCACACGTGCCAAGAAATCAGCGAGAAACTGTGAATAGTATCTACCAGCATCCAGATAATCCAGACATGATGCGCGTTGCTAGCCAGAAACAAGACAACGCTGAAGTAGTAAATGGTTACAGCAATCCTCAAAACAATTATGAAGAAGTTGTAAATAGTGTTTATGTACCACAAAATAACAATCAAGCTGTAAGTCCGGTGGTGATGCAGAGGAATTCGAGGAACTCGCGGCCTCACTCTTTAAGTCAGGAAGAAAGAACACCTTCAGCTATGGCAGAAATTATGCAACCGGACATTTACAACAACCAGAACAGAGGTTCAAGGCTAGATCAGAGGCAAAGCTTGATGAAAGAGTCATTCCACGGGGGGCCGAACGAGTTTAGATATACCTCGCCCAGTCCTGCCGCTAGAGGTCAACGAAGTAGCTTGTCGTCTTACCGAGGTAGTTTTGGAAACCCGCACGACAACCGAAGTAACCTGTCGTCGCGATCGTCTTCGGATTACAGATCAAGGCCTCAATCCAGAGCCGACTCGGCTTTGCGACAATCGGGTTCACGACTGAGGGGCGACAGTTTACCAGCAGTTGACTATCAAAACATCAGAGCTAGACCTGCCGATGAAAATCATTTTATAGCTGGAGAACCTCAACCGCAAATTCCGAGCAGAAATAACAGTAGCTCCTATAGCTCAAAAAGTGTAATAAAGTCGAAGGATTTTGAGGTTGGGTCGGTCAGTGAAAAAATTATGAACTCGCAAGGAAGTCAGTCGGAGCCAGTTGAGCTTAATATTCCCGACGCAATCCAGGAAGCAGAAACGCCGAGGGAAACTGTTCCAGAACCAGAATCACGTGATCAACTTGCTACCGGAGAACAATCAGTTATGGAGTCCGGGTTCGAGGTTAACGACCAAAATATCGACAATAATGGAAACTCCATGGTCGACAATGAGCAGTTCAAAACAGCACAGATTTTAGAAGTGCAGCAAAATACACCGCGTGGACAGGCAAATGAGGATGGTGAACAATTTGAGCACGTTGAAGAAATGCAGGAAAATAACAAAGAAGTTGACGACTTAAATGAAAATGAAATAGAAATTGAGCGCGTCAAAAACAACATCACTGAAAAAGAATTTTTCGAAAATGATCTGGCTTTTGAAATGTCAAATACTGTCCAATTTCAGCAACAACGCCTACAAAGGTTTCAAAATCAACAAAATTGGAACCAGAGACAAGAAAACTGTGAAAATTGGCAGCAAAACAATCTCGAAAATGAAGTGTTTCCCTCACAAAACGATACTCCTGGTTTCAGTCATGCTGAAAATGGAGATAATGAAAATTTTGAGCACATTGAGAGTGATTTTCAAACTGGTCATAATGATCTTAAAAAGCAACAAATGCTGCAACGGGAAAATATTCAATTTGCACACGCTGAAAGGGATGGAAGGTTCCATCAAAAACAGAACGCCGCATTTCGTCGAGAGAAAAATGGACAACTTGAGACTGACGTTCAATTTAAAAATGAGGAGGAAGGTTATCTGGAATATGACTATAATTCACCAAATGTGAACCAAAATCACGATTTCCAAGCTGAAAGAGTTCAAGGTCATAATATCCAACAAGGTTCAAACTTCAAAGCGGAACAAAAGTTTCAACAATCTGCGCTTCAGCAAAGTAGCCACAGGCAACATGCACAAGGATTCCAAATGCAGGAGCAAAGTCAGCGACGTCAACATCACCAGCAAACATTTCAACAAGCTTCGTCAAATCAGAGATACCGATTTGAACAAAATCGTCGACAAGATTCGGGACCCCAAGATTTTGATAGAGCTCCCCCAAAAAAGGAGAAAACGATTCCTGAAGTCTCACCTGAAATCAGCGAAGCTTTCAACCCGATTGACGAGAAGCCAGACCAGGAACCAATGTCGGCTGGAAGGAGGGATCCAGGCATCGAAGATGATTATGAAGAGAAACCAGAAATCATAGACAGAGATGGACACCCAGCAGACCAAGAAGAAAGGGTTCCTCCGGAACAACAACAAGAAGAAGCTATTTCGGAGCCAGATGAAGGAGAGATTGCAGTTCCTAGTGAGGAAGAGCGAAAAAATCAATCCAGTGGGCTTGAACTGGCGAATATCAAGGACACCAAATATGTCATCACGAGATCAGAGGAATGGACGATCAAGGTAGACCCTAGATTTTTTTCTGACCAACCTCATGAGAACTGCAAAGGAATTATGAAAAGCTCTTAAACTAAAGGTACGGTCTGGTTAGCCTGTTTTTAATGAAATTGTTTGTTATGTGGTTACATTATTCAAGGACGTGTCAATGATTATTTTTAAAATTGATCTGATTGTTGAGAAGTTCCCAAATGTCATAGATACATTTGTTACAATGATCTTTTTTTTAAAAATAACTTTCGGTAGAAAACTACTATCTTTTGTGCCGACGGTTCAGCTCACAGTTTTTTCGATTGACCTCAACATCATTATAGTATAAATACCAATCTTTAACTTACAGAACCGAGCAAAGCGAAATGTGTTTATAACTTTTTCTTCTAATCGTCATACCACTAGATTTCAAAACGAACTCTCTTGCAGAAACGACTTTACTTGTAAAAGGTGTTTTGTGAAAAAAGTTCGCTCGTAAACAAAATTTTGTAATGCAAATTTCACTAAAAACGACTATGCTCGTAAAAGTGACTTTAAGCGACTTTCAAGTTAAATTTGCTTGTTTGCTTGTACGCAATTTGATTTAAAAACGACTTGGCTTGAAAAACAACGATGAAACCGTCAAACAATTGCCTGAGCAGATTACAAGACCTGTTTACTACTAAATACTTTCAGCAGACGAAATCAAAAAAGTCTTTTCCGCTGAACTTAAATAACTTAAGAGAAGCTGTGGCGTGTCTACCGCCGCCGCCATATGCCCATAAATCTGATTTAAAAATGACCAAATCGAAAAATTTTTGGTTAAATTGACTTTCAAAAGTTCTCAAAAAAAGTCATTTTTCGCCTGTTTTTTTTTAAAATGTTCTCTGTAAAGGCCGTAATAAATTGGTCTTGATAGAGCTTTAGGGGAGCTCAGAAAATCAATTTAGTCGAACAAAAAAAATCGACCAAAATTTTAATTTTTTTTTGCAAAAACAACCCCCATCCTCGAAAAAATCCTGTGCATGCTTCTGGAGTTGGAGCAATAACTTAAGTGCACAGAAGGTTTTGTTTTGTGGTGTGCTCGTTGTTTAAGCGTGAAGCAACACTTCCCAGAGTGAAAAAATCTCAGTTAAAAACGCATGAAGATCTTAACAAATAAGCTCAACTGTGGTTCGCCGTGATTCAGGTGGTCCTTTCCTTCATAAATGTCTCAATTTTCAGTATCTTGTTATAATCTTTTTTCTTGCCGAAAGACTATTTGTGACTTGTTTCCGCGTCAAAATAAGTATTATATGTAACTGAAGCAAGCATTGCTTGAAAAAAAAGAAAAAAAAGACTTGTGTTTTTGAAGGTGAACAGTGATGGTAAGCCGGAGCTGACGTCATCACAGGGGTCAGTGGAGTCATTTGAGAGGAAGAAAGCCAAAGTAGACCAACTGTTTGAGGCTGTGAAGCACAGTGTAGAGAATGCGGGGCAGAGAGCTTTCAAATACACACAACAGAAGGAGGAGAGGATCAATGAAGTGTCAATGGTAATGTCATACTTAGGCTGCAAAAAGACAAATTCAGAAATAAGACAGTAAAAATATCCAGTTGAATTCAGTCCACATGAGGATTATCAAGTGTTTAGTGCGTGAGAAGCGCTAATTGGAGCTTAACTTGCTATAAATTGGAGTACAAAGCAAATTATCAATGCCGTTTTTCTTTACCGAAAAAATTCTGAAAATTTGATCAATCACGACAGAAGGATACTTAACAATATCTGTCAAAAACGACTTCAAAAAGACAATACGATAAATCACTGGGACCTTCATGTATTGCGAAAAAATGTAGAAAAAACTGAAACACAACTTATAAAAAAACTCCTTCCCATTTCGTGGTCGGAACAATAAGCAGAAAATATTACAGCAAAGCAAATATTACGATGTATAAATTTAATGGTGGTACAAACGAAGAGTTCTTTTGATCCCATTGCTAAAAGCATCCAAAAATGAAAAAAAAAACAAGCGCCGCAAATCAGTCTCATTACTCTTTCGGAATTCTGATTGGTTGTACTTAAAGCCAACCCGCACTGACAGAAATTGTTTCCTGTCGATTTAAATTGATTTTAAATCGATAAAAATTGATTAACCATGTGCATTTTACAAACTTAAATGGATTTTACATCGAATTAAATCGATCTTTTTGAAAATTTTAAATTGATTTTAAAGTCTAAAAAATCGATTAAAATCAATTTCGATGGATTTTCTGACTCACTAAAATCCATCTGAATCTTCCTTAAATCTATCAGAACCTCACTTAAATCGATTTAAATCGATCATTTTGAAAATTTTAAAATCGATTAAAATCGATTTCGATGGATTTTCTGACGCACCAAAAATCGATTTTTTTTGCTAACAAAGAAAAAAACATGCTTTTTAGAAAACTAATTAAAACATTTTTTTCCTGATTTTTCAAATGAAAACACGTGCCAGGTGTTTTAGAGTTCAAGAAATAAATAAAAAATGTTAATATGAACCAGATTTTGAGCTCAAAAATATGCAGTGAAAATCTAGAAAATCATCATTACAAATCAGATTTTGCGCATCAACATATGTAACAAAGCTCAGGTAAAATTAAATTGCGATCTCAATAATATGCAATAAAATCATAGAAATTATGAAAGTAAATCAGATTTTGAGCAAAAACTTATGAAACGAATCAGGAAAAAGGTCAATATAAATCAGTTTTTGAGCTCAAAAAATGCAAGAAAGTCATAGAATTTTATCGATATTTTGGTCTTTTCATTTGGTCTTTTTTATGCTACAAAACGCTAGATGTTAAATGAAAAATAATAAGCAAGAAATAAATGCAATAAAATTTTGAAACTGATAAATCTCGAAAGAAAAAAATCGATTCAAATCAATTTTAATCAGTTTTAATCCCCTTAAAAATAAAAAAACAAATTTAGATTGGAAAAAATGGATTTAAATTGATTTAAAATCGATTTGGATCAGTTTTTTTAATTGGGATTTAAGATCAACATAAGTCAATTTTAAACGGTCCAAATCAATCTTCATCTTTTTTATTTAATCTTCGTACTTTTTTCATACTAAAATCGCTCTAAATTTAATCAACGTACTTTTTTCATAGTAAAATCGATCTAAAATTAATCAACGTACTTTTTTCATACTAAAATTGATCCTCATCCATTTTTGTCAGTGCGGGAATGATTGCGTAAGGAAACTGCTGATTTTTCAAACTATCATAAATAAAACTAGGTTTTTAGGTTTTTGCTTCTCATCCGAATGCTAGGAAGCTAATGTTGAAGGTGTGTTTTTTACAAAACATTTGACCTTCCCAAAGAAAACTTAGAGAGTCAAGTGTGATATCATAATGATGTTTTTTCAGCCAAGATTTGGATTTCATAAGAATCAAAAAATTTTTAACGTGGTTTAAAATGGGTATGAGTATTTTCTGTTTGCTGGACAAATATACAAAAAAATTACGCTGAACTCAAATTCGAAGACATCCAAGTGATTTGTTTAACAATTTTAACCTTTTACAGATATAACTAAATATGTTAATAAAAAGAGGAAAAAAAGTTTTAGAAAGAAGATTTTAAATTTTTTTTAAATGATGATTTTTTTGATATTTTAACTTTCGTTCTTGGTCTTAGATTTTTCCTATTTGAATCATTGAATTTTGAACATTATGTGCTATTGCACAGCAATTGGCTGCCTTTGTTTGTTCTAACAAAAAAAAATTCTTTGGAAATTCTAAGTTTCTGTCTTTGATATTAGAATTTTGATTTGATAAATTTCAATTTAATGACCAAATTTACAAAACTTTTGTTGCTTGATGCAGAACTCAATTTGAAGACATCCAATTGAGCTCTATAGCAATTCATACGTTTTTAGCAAAAATGAAAAATTATTCCTGAACATTATATTGTTCAACTGATTGTTTTAAATAAAGACAGAAAAGATATAGAAATTACCATAAATGATGATTTTTTTCAATTTAAATTTTCATTCTTGATTTTAGATTTTTCCTTCTTGAATAATTGAGATTGAATTTTTTTGTGCTACTCGCACAACAATTTGCTATCCTTGTTTGTTTTAACACTTATTAACTGTCCTTTAATTTCGGAGCAAGGAGGGCCCACCGGCATCATATGTCAATACTCCATGACTTTCTGATATTTGGTAAAAAATAGATTTCAATTTTCTCGAATAAAATTGTAATTTTTTAACAGCGCTCCCTTCTTTTAAAAAAACTAGGTTGAGGGCCTTCAATTTTTGTCATAAGCAATGATTAAAAAGGATATAAAAATTTATTTGCATTCTAACAGGCGTAACCGGTTGCTCTGGAAGTAGCACAGATTTTTTCGACCAAAACTTTATAGTTTTTTTTCGAATTTAGAAACGCTACAAAAATAAATTTTGAACATAATTGAGTGTATTTGACTTCTAGAAAAGCATAACTTAACTGATCTCAACACAGGCAAACTTTCATATCTTTGTCTTGATTTTGTCGTGATTAAAGTTCGTTACAGGAAAGTATGCCAAGCAATACAATTGAATGATGAATTAGAATCAAAGCAAAACATACAAGTTAGTACAAAAACCGATTTTGTTTGGTTGACACTTGTTTAGCTAGCGCCAAAAACAAATTGTTTGTAAAGAAAATTTTTAAAAAATCAAGAAGAATTTGAGCCCCACTCGAAACATTTAGACTGTTTTTTTTTGCTCCTGAAACTATTCGAAGTGAGTCCGCTACGGCAATTTCTTTTAAACCAAACAAATGCGAGAAAATATATATTCATTGAGTCAAACGGGCATTTAAAATGCACAAATGCTCGAAGATTGTCTTTTACTTGATGAAAGTACAGATGGAGATGATCACTTATTTCAGTCATCCTGTGAACAAAAATTTCAACGGGGAAAATTTTAGTAGCTGGTTGTAACACCCTTGCTTATCGCACGGGTAAAAATCAAAAATGTTAATTCAAATTTTATAAAGTTATTCAATTTTGCTACAGTTTTTTTTAATTTTTAAGCATTTAAAGCGCTAAATGAATCTTCAATAACTAGATTTCTTATTTGTTGTAAAACATTAAGCTAAAGTTTTTACAGCTCCTTATTTTCACATAACAAAAGGTTACTCACTCGCTTTGCTCGCTCAAATTTGACTCAACAGCAAAAAAAAATTATTGTGATTGACTCATGCCTGAAAAAATTTTTCTATGACAGAGCAAAAAAAACTTTTTCGGATGTTTATTTGTGGTACCGGACATTGTCTAGCAAAAAAATATATCTCAACCAAAAAAAAATGTTTCTATTCACTTTCACTAATGATTAGAACAAAAATATTGGTTTGAAACGTTAACAGGATTGCAAAATCGAGATTATTAGGGGACGGGTAATTGATTTAAGTTTTCAACGCATTTTTGTAGAATAGATTAGAAAGCCCGTTAAATGTACCGTTAATCTTTTGCTGTCTTACAGAAGCTTTTGGTACCCTACTGCAATCAAAATATTTCGTTCTCTGAATGATAACATCGATTTCACCAATTTTGTTAAATTAGTGTCTGAGCCAGTATAAACTCGGATCTAAATGGAGTCAGCTTTTCAATTGTTTTGGAACGCAGTTGAAAGCCCCGTACGCTATAGTTTCTTTCCAACTTACGGTAGTGTCAGAGAATATCAATGGTTTGGTTGTGTGAACAGGTGAGGACACACCATGGCGAGGCTGCCATCCAACTGACTCAGCCACAGGGACAGAATAAGGAAGAGGAACCAGAATCAACTCAGAACCAGGTAGGTATCACAAAAGGGGAGCGGCGGTGAAGTGGTTACGTCTCCGCCTCTCAATCGAAAGGCCGGATGTTCGAGGGTGAAGCAAAATTATCCAGCCCAAAAAATAGCCAAAAAAATTCATGTAGTTTTTAAGCAAAGACACAACTGCGGTTCTCCGTGAAGAACTGTGCAGCTCGTATTTTGGCCCTTTCCCTCGTGGATCAATGGTGTTTAACTAAATAAGTACCGATAGAAAGTAGATCTATGCTTTTTATAGCAACATATGTAAAGAAAATAAAGATGGAAGGAAATTTGAGTACGCAAAATTGTTAACTCTCCTTGACAATCCAATTGTTAATTATCTTGAAATATCTTCTCCTATAAAAGGCTAATTCAACGATATTAAACATTGCGAATTTTGTACCTATTAACGAGTTACCGTATGTAATATGGGAATTTAGTGTTTTTAAATTGATTTCATCCTATCAGTAAGCTTCTGTTTTTTTTCCAGATAAACGTGCAGGACCAGGATGTCTCCCCTGTTCCTTCGGAGGCGGCAGAAGGCACGAATGAGGAGTGTTGGGAGAGTGAGAACTCGAACATGGCATACATGCACCCCCTTAACCAAGACATGGAAGTGTCCACCAGCCAACAGTCGGGGGTCTCCGCGGAACAGTTTGAAAGAGCCAGTCTCAGAAGCTCCAAAGGCAGCATTAGGAAGATGCAATAGTTTGAAGTAGTTCATCGCAACGAAAGATGATACGCATCAGATCTTAAGAGTTTTTTGGTGCTATTTTGATATTTCCTTTTGTACTTTTTTAAAGTAAGAACTAAACAATAGGTTGAATTCAAACAGTAAAAATTGAATACTGTGGCGACTGTCTACAAGTCATAGGTCTACACAAATGCTAAATTTGAGATCGCACTGCCAAAAAACTTGGAAGTTCCTCTGCTGGTAACTTGAAGATAAAAATTGTGCCAATTGTGAACCCGGTCAATGCGCTTTATGAGAAACAGTATTTCGGCAGACTGCAGAATGTCGGCTAAAACAAATGCTTCATAATTGCAAAAATGAGTACATATTGAAATTGTGCTCACTTTTGTCAGTTAGCTGCACAGAAAAATGCAAGAACAGCAAGAATAGCCGATTACTGCGCAAGTAGCACAGAATGTTCCCATCATAGTTTTAAAAAACAAAAACGTTTTTTTTTTTCAAATTATTGCCGTTTTTTTCGGCGTGGTGTGATAAAAGGAGCTGACAAAACTGGGGATTAGGTATATTCGACAGTCATAGTAAAAAAATCAAATTAGAAAACAATTTTTGTAGAAAAATAATTAGAAAAACAAAAACAAAAAATCAAAAGAAAATTTTTGAAAAGCTTTTTAAGCTTTTTTGCAGTTTTTGAACTTTTGAATATTTTAAAAAAAGCTAAAGTAAACTAACCTTACTCAAACAAAAATCATTTTTTACTTTTTAAAATAAACAATTGTAAGCTTACAAGCTATTACAATAAAACTGCTCGCTCGCTCGCTTTCTTCGCTCGAAATAAGACAAAAAAAATCAAAAATTACAAACCGGTTTTCGGTTTTTCTCGAATTTGGAATTTTTTTTGAGAATTTTAATGTGTTCTATTACGAGGCCAAACTGTGCATTCTCTGCATTGTTAGTGGAATCCGCAACAAGCCAAAATAGTTTTGTCGCGGAATCCGCAACATTGCTACTTTTCTTTGATCTTCTATGCTGTTTTGGATTCCACAAACAAATACCTAAATCATTGTAACGCTCAAAATCGCTCCCAAAATATGCAAATTTTTGGAGTCCGCAACAGTATTTGTGGAATCTAAAACAGTTTGTGGAATCCACAAACAAATGATAAAACATATGTATCGTTAAATTGAGCTGTTGCGGAATCCGCAACTGTAAGTGGAATCCGCAAATTGTATTTGGAATCCGCAAATTGTAAGTGGAATCCGCAAATTGTTAGTGGAATCCGCAAATTGTAAGTAGAATCCGCATTTTGTTTTAAGATTAGTTTGTGGATTCCCCTGACAAATGGATAAATCCTTTTGCGTTCAAATTCCTATAGATAATAAATCAAATATTCCACCTCTAGCTTTAAATTGTTCATATGCAAGTTCAGTAATAAACAAAATGCGGAATCCACTTACAATTTGTGGAATCTACTTACAATTTGCGGAATCCGCTTACATTTGCGGATTCCACTTACATTTGCTGATTCCACTTACATTTTGCGGAATCCAATTACAGTTGCGGACTCCAGAACAACTAGCTATACTTGCTTGTTGCGGATTCCGCAACAAAACAAATGTGCCGACAAAATTTACGTTACAGGTATATGTATGCGGAATCCACTTAAATTTTGTTTGTGGAATCCACTTACATTTTGGAACATATTTTAAGACTTGTCTCTGGAATCCAGGAACATACAGATACAAAATTGTGCTCCTATCCAGTGAACAGTTTGGCCTCGTAATGTCGAATCACAATTGTAAGGGCTTTATTATGACATAGCACTCAACCAGTCCGATATAGCACGCAGTCCGATGATTATTTGTAATAACTGATTTTTGGTGGAAAACAAAACGAAAAAAAAACACCCGTACAAAGATCCTCCTTTATTTCAATGTTCGGAACAAAAACTGCAGTTCTGTCGCGATACTTCCCTAGTCAATCAGGAGAAGTAATTTGCAAGATTTTGCAAAATTCTGCCAAATTAAGGTTATCTTGAGAAAATTTATCTTGGAAATCATCATATCTAGAAAAAAATTTCAAAACACAGCGAGATAAAAACATATATGTATATGATCAGAGCAAGTTGAATTGACATTCTGGAAAAAAATTGTTGTCGAAATTGTTGACCTCATCCTATTAAAATGAACAAAACTAAACATAATTTGTGCCTTGTATCCTTGAAAATGATTTTTTTTTCAATTTTCTAAAAAATTTCTTTACTTGATTAAATTCTTGATTAAATTGATTAAGAAGATTTAAAAAAATTCCAAGCAATAATAATGATCGAAATAATGATGAATGAGTTGGCTTTTCGACTCGTTTCAAGTTTTGACCTTTTGCTCCAAAATATCAAGCATTTATGGTAGCTGTTTTGTATCCGTTGGAACAACAACTTGAGCGTAAAATATATATAGTTTCCTGCCTTTTGTAGATCAATTGTTTGTTCATTCCAAATTCCAAAAAGTGTTTGTTATTGGTTTAATGAAACACTTCGACAAAAAATGAAGTTTTTTGGTCCATCGAGGTCCTTTGGCTCATTGGCCCATTTTTCCAAATAAAATGGTATTTCAATGATTTTTGTGAAGTTTGAAAGTAGTTTACCGTTCAAATTAATTATTCCTTTTTAACTTTACAATCAGTATATATAAACAATTTGAAGCATTAATTTTGTTTTTTAAAAAATAATTTTTGTGATATGTGCGTGGGAAATTGTACTTCTTGTTTCTACCTAATCGAACAATTTTTCTGCACTCAATGTCCAAAAAAATTGTGGCTAGTAGAATAATCTATCAGTAAAATATAGAAGTGAAGTTTCCTTCTCGATTTTTTTGGCAAAACTTTTAATCATCACCCTTCAAAAGATTTCTTGGGTTAGTTGTTTTTTTTTCTAAGTCTCTTGTCTTTTATATAACTTTAAGCTTTACTTATCCTGAACCACTAACACTTCAGTTTGAAAATTGTTTATTGCAATCGTTAGGGCATCATTAAGAGTTAACTTTTACCTAACTTTTGTGCCTAAGTTCATTGTAGTTTTAGAGATATACTAAAACCTATGGAATTGTAGGTTCTGGCATGCACTGGTCTTTTTTCTTCAGTGCTAATTAAAATTTGTGGCTAAGTCGGTCAAGGTTGATGAGATTTGACTTGTTTTGTCAAAAAACAACAACCCGAGGGCGTAGCTTCTGGCATGCACTGACTCATAATATTTCAACTACTGCGTACTTTCTAAACTACTTGTTTTGGTTGCTAAACAATTGAAAGGGCTAAATTTTGATGTAGTTCGCTCGTAGTGTCATAAGCTCGTAGTAGTTGCTGATATAAGTTTTCTTCAATTAAAAAAATCTAATGTTTTTTTCTCTTTCACTCATCTGCAATTTTGACATTTTAAGGCGAAAAAAATTTCTAGCAAGTCTTTAAATCTTTAAATTGTTTTGATTGATTGTTTGTTGCAAAAAAACGAGCCTTGTATATTTTCCTGCTTTTTGTTTACAATTCTATATTCGTTTTACCTCTCCACGGTTTTTGCTATGAGCTTATTGATTTTTTTGCAAGAAATTAAGTGAATTGGCCCATTGGGGTCATAAATTAGATAAACCACAAAAGTTGAAGTTCGATAGTGTTAGTAAGATTATTTAAGTGATGTGAAAAACAATTTATGCGAATTTCGATCAATTTAGACCCATTCATTAAGCTACCATTTCTAGTGTCTGTTCTTGCTAATGAAATAGATTTTAATTGGTTTTTTTTAATTTAAAACTAGCTACCTGTCAACTCATTTAACCAAAGTTTTTTATTTACATTCTCAGTATGAATAAATATTAGCAATTCAAAACAACGCGTAACTATCCTTGTTTTAAAAGGTTGTCTTTTTGATGAGGTTTTGCATTTAAATTTTTTGTTTTAGAAAATTTTCAGCTTTTATGTCGGAACCATGTTGCTAGTAGCTGAACAAGCTAGGAAAAACTATACTGAAGCTGAATATAGAAGTGAAGTAACATTCTCATCTCTTTTTCGGCAAAAATTTAGAATCTTTGGCCTTGGAAAGATTTTTTGGAAGGGGAGGGGGCGCTTGTTTTGCTCTATCATTTTGATCTTTTATAACTCTGTTCCGCAAGTCTTCTGAACATGTTTTTGTGAAAAGTACCTTTTTTCGGGTTTCTCGCTAGTCTTATGTTTTTGTTTCAAATTTCGTCAACCACTCATTACTGTTCAAAGCTGATGTTGCGATTTCTAGTTCTCAAGTGGAGCTTTTTTTGATATAAATTAAGTGCCATATTTTGTCAAGTATTGAGGTATAGTATTTAAGCAAAAAAGTTTTTTTTTTCTGAGGTTTTTTCTGATTCGTGTGGTGTTCTCGCATGGTTTGATTGATGTTCCCTCAACCACTAAATGTTAAATGGTTTCGAAAAACGTTTGATGTAATCGCTACTTCATTATTAGAGCCTACTGTTGATTTAAAGTAAGTGCCATATTTGTCATGATTCCTGAGATAGTTCTTAAAGTAAAAATTGTTTTTTCCTACTTCGAAGATTTAGGTAAATGTTGACGGTAAAATAATGATGACCAAAACAATTAAAGCTTTCTGGGGGCAACTACCTAGCGGATGTGCGTACGTATGTGTGTTCCTCCCTTCTTCCGCGAACAATAACAAGTTTTTTACCACAAAAAGTCATATGTTAAAAGATCTTGCTTTAGAAAAAGTTATCTTTATAGGAGGTTATCTTGCAAGCCCTGCTGCTTCAATGCCTCTTTTTTAAAGAAAATTGCAAGATAACACTCCTTGAGCGACTAGGGTCTTCCTTGTACCCGATTCTTCATTTTAAATAAGTCTAGGGGCAAATTCAAAATCATTTCTCTTGGCAGTTGGAAAACTTTTCAACAAATGATCATTTTATCTCCAGAAAAAGCATTAAAATTGTATCAGTTAACCGTGTCTGCCATTTACTTGTGGTACATGATTATGCGTATGAAAGAATTGATTTCAAAAAACTCCACAACTTCGGTGATCAAAACCATTAGAACCTCTC